CCCCCCCCCCCCCCCCCCCCCCGTAAATAGGTCAATTCATTTAAACCATGTTACATCAATGTGACAGAGGAATGTCATTGTTTTCATTCAGTGTATAGTTTACATACTTAAGAGTAAAATACACTTCCTAACAGAAAATTCTGTTCCTATACATAATCCTCCGCCATACGTACGCCCCTCTGTGTGGAAGCCCATTTTGTGATGGAAGAATACGTTGTTTTTAAAACGAAACACTGTCCGAGATAAAAACATCTTGAGTAATCCATTGCATGGATTACAGAATACAGATATTTCACAGCACACTCCCTATCAGGGCTTTTCAGTGACTGGTTAGTGGTTACATTATGAATAGATAAATAAAACCGGACTGACGTGAAGCAGACCGAGGTAGACTTTGAGCTTACAAATGGCGCTTGAGCAGTCGCTATTAGTCCATACCTCATTAATGATCTGCCTCCAGACCCATGTGCCTAACCCACCCAAACAAGATTATAGTCAGCTACAGTTTGTGACTGGCAATGAAAACTACTTATTTTACAATGGCTGGCAATGAAAACTACCTATTAATAATTATTACAATTTATATTGCGCTAATTTCATATATGACATGATCAAAAGCGCATCACTGACAAGATTTACAATGCCAATTGATCACATTTGCCTTGATTTCAATTAAGCTATTGTTTCGTGTGCAACTAAGCAAGTTCGGAAAGTGTCTAGTGGAATGCAATACAATATGAATTAAAAACTAACCTATTAAGTTAATTAACATAAAGGGTCCTATTCAATTGAGGTCAGTATTCGGCTTTTCAATTCCTACAGTAAAATATTCACATGATTTCTAATAACATAAATCAGTTCAAAGCATAGTCTTTCGAGACATGGTCTGGAAAGTCAGTAAACTTCAAAGCGGTTATAATGAGCTGTGTGTTTATGTTGAGCCGTAACTTACACCGTGCACATCCTTTGTTTTAGGTTTATTAATTTAAATAGCATGGTTGAATGACTGACTGAAACGTTGCTATTGGATGATTCGCTTATTATACTGAAATACAATGTGTTCATTGCGCATGACCGTGCACCGTGCACAAAACTGCATAAACGCGAACAAAAAGATAGAACAAAGACTTTAGCGGAGTTCCAAACCATGTTTTGAAAGACTATGTTCAAAGTAATAGTTCATAATAAAATAAATATGTACATATATGAATTACTAGCTTATAAGCGCATTAATTACGACTAGAAGTCCATATGACCATATCATTAATAGAAAAAAAAACACAACTATAAAGATATATACTGTATCGATTTTATTTTCTAAAATCTTGGAAAAAGGAATATTTCTTTGTATTTCTAACTGTTTTAACATCAAAGATTCGTGGCCTTTCATTTGTTCCTGTGCTGAGGCTCAGGCCAAACGACCAATTTTAATTTTTCAATTAGTAACTTACAGTATTGTACCCTGGTTCCAGAGGCGCTTTGCGAGGCGAAAGAAACGAGAAGCGATAACGGAGAGCCTCTGGTCATATCGATTGCAAATCCCACTTCCACACCAACCTCGTTCCCAGGCTTTTTCTTCCACACATGATTACGTTCAGAATTTGAATCTCCCATGTGATCGGCCATTTGTAAAAATTGTAAGCTAATTATAGCCTTAAAGGCCATGTAAATCCGTAATGTAAACAAACGCTTTGTTTACATTTTGAACTCAATGCTACAGTTGTAAAATATGATTAGATATATATTATACTGAATTTTTAACACTCTTCTGAGTTCGCTATGCTTGTAAATGAATACAGACTAGAGAGATTCGATTCAAGAAAGTTCGCAAGGTGCGAAATATTTTTAAACAACATTCCAATGGTCGGGTCCCGAACATTGGAATGTAGGCCCGCGCAGAACATATGCGCAGAACGGACTTTACATGGTCTTTAATTAATTAAACTCAACCAAGCATGACTATTATTACTCCTGTGCAAAAGGTATCAAATTTCTCAGGAGATAAACATATCAATATTAATCAGTTTGATACAAACGGCCAATCACATGCGAGATTCAAATTCTGAACCTAATCAAGTGTGGAAGTGGGATTTGCAATCGATGTGACTAGAGGCAGAGGCTCTCCATTCTCGCCTGGAACCAGAGTAACATCGCAGCTAACGTCATGTATTACCACTGTGAAAAACTGATTGTTATTTTTTCGATTTTCATTTGTTGACTCCAGTAACTGCTACTGTGAGGTTTATGACCAATTTCAATTTTTAAGATTCCTATACATGGTTTAACATATTCATATTAATTCTTGATACCTTATAGTATTACAATATCACTGCCTAAAACGCTTTGCTAAGACCGGTGGGATGATCAATGTAATGCTATTTCTCGTTATGAGTAAAACGTTCGTAAATGAGGACAGTTTTCAGTTGAAGACTTCAATTTCTGTCGTTAAGAATTGGTACTGACCAGCAAGAAGGTTCTTTGCTTGTTCACTGTTATAGACATAACCAGGGGGAAGTTGGTATGTGTGTCCAAAATTGCTGCATGATTGATTAACTTGAGGATTGTTCCAAATACGCACATCATAATCTGCACCAAAGAATGGACCATCACCAGAGGAACAGTAGATTGCATTTTGCTCCTTACCTTGCTTGATGTTGGCAATAAATGGAGCAAGGTTGTCTTTATTGCGCAGGGAAAATAAAAATGACAAGTTGGAACGTTTCCAAGCACAACCTTAAAATTGAACAAAATTAATGAATAATGAATGAAAATTACGGTTGCCATAGAGTATTCTAATAAAACACAAAATAATAGAAAGATGAATATTTGATTTTTTCTTCTGAAGATGACTTATAAAATTAATAGTCGAGACGTAAATGAAAATGTTTACAATTTTCGGAGTGTCTATTGTTCTGTATTTTATTAATAAGTAAAGTTTAATGAAATATTTAATAGTCACTATAATATTTACTTTTGGATATGATCGGGATGATTTTGACACAATCGTCCCCGGTTCACATGAGACTGGACGGATTTTGAACCATATACTCAATACTCAATTTCACGACAATCACCTTATGCGTTCATATGGAACGCACGAAATTCCCGTGTAACAAATGGACAGTTTAATGAAACCAGTTTGCAGGACAAATATATAGCTCGCATAAATTATGCAAATGTTAATATATAAATCTTTTCTTACATAGCATACCTGAAGATTCCCAGTGTTGGTCAGTGTATCCTCCAAAAATACAATCATTGGCTTTCACCAAAACCACTGTCGGTCCTTTATTGTCACAATGTCTGTGAAAATCTTGGGCACTCCAACCATCTCTGGAAGCTCTGTAACAAAGAGTCCATTTACATTTCTCTCCCAACCATTTCTGTAGTTGTTTCATGAAGGCAATCTCTCCGGATCCCTTCAAAATACTGGTAGAATTTTTCAAATTATCTGGTACAGCTACATTTGCTAAACCATGACCTAAATCATTAAACCTAGGTTAGCAAGCTTGCCAAAATCCCAGCAAAATCATCGTAACATGATTGTAAGATCCTATAATTATTATGATCTTTGTAAGATTAATGGCATGCAATATCTATGAAAGATCTTTGTCCAACTACACTGTGGTACAACAGTAGGATCAGTACGATAAAGAAAAGTATCGAAACGTAATAGCTTGCAATTGTGACAACTTTATGCGTAATAGACAAATTTAGCTTTCATGGCAGTTAGGTGCAAATTGACTATTTCAGTTCACGTGTCATAACAGATTTTTTGTTTAGCTAGTAGCGAACAAAGAAATTTGTTACGACACGTGAACTGAAATGGTCAATTTGCATCTAACTGTCATGAAGTCTACTGGTTTTGGTTTATGGAAAACACACTGGCAAACATTTTCCTGGGACGTTACAATATTAACCAGCTGAATTCGAAAAATAAGCATACAGAAGCCCCAGACCCTCCCCCGTCTCGTTGGCTCAGACCGGAAGCACTGTTCTTACATGTGTGAGAGGCAAAATTATAATCCGACAACTCCATGTATATTGTTGGAATGTCGAACTAACAACCACTGAGTCATATCTAACGTAAAAAATAATTTGGAAGGACCAGGTTAGATATAGTTGGGTATACACCAGGGCGACCACTATGTCGAACACACTTATCTTAAACTCCCTGCTATTTTCAATTTATACGGTTACCCATTTGTTGTGGATTTGCCCATAATATTTTAATAATTTTTACTTGGTTATCTCGAACTAAGTTAATTCGAAACTCAATTTTTGCTTGACCTGGTTACCTTGAACTATAATGAATGAAATAAACTCAGTTGGCTGTTTTTATTATAGGGAGAACTGTGCATGCACGTCTTGTACACGCAACATAAACATGCGCGTGAAATAGGCATGTACTATTACATACGTAAAAATCTCACGTCTTGTAGCATGCAAGTCTGCCAACAAGCCGTCAACAAGTTGTGTTCGCACTGCTTGTCCCAAATTGTCAACAAGTTTGGAACAAGCTGTTAACAATTTGTAACAACCTTGTTGATTTTACCAGGCTTGTTACAAGGTTGTTCCAACAAGTACGATACAGTCATGATATAACAGTATTGTTACAACCTTGTGTCGTCAGTCTTGTAACATTCTTGTTTATCATGACTGTATCAGACTTGTTAGAACAACCTTGTAACAACTCTGATAATGCCATCAAGCTTGTTACAAGTTGTTAACAGCTTGTTCCAAACTTGTTACAACAACTGGGAACAAGCAGTGCGAACACGACTTGTCGACAGCTTGTTTGCAAACGAATCCACCGAAACGAAACGACCGAAACGGCCGAAACCACCGAAAAATGGTAAATTACAGGAAAAATGGAAAATGCAAATATATTAAAATATGAATATTACGGGAAATTTTTTTTAAATTTTGAAGACAATTGGGGAAGGGGGTGCGGGCAACCCAGAGGACTTTGACTACATTAGCACAGAATACTCCAAAAAGGCAATGACACCCAAAAAGGCACACACACACTCCCCAATTGCCTTAAAATTTTAAAAAAATTCCCGTAAATTTCATATTTTAATATATATATATATATATTTGCATTTTCCATTTTTCCTGTAATTTATATTTTCGGTGGTTTCGGCCGTTTCGTTTCATTTCGGACGAAACGTCTCGGCCGTTTCGTTTCGGTCGTTTCGATGGTTTTGACCGTTTCGTTTCGGTGGTTTTGTTTCGACGTTTCGCCTTTTAGTACATGCCCGTAAAATGGGCTATAATAGAGAATGAACTTTTTCAGTCTAAGAGACCTACAGTCTTCGGGTGATCGAAACCCGTGGCTCGAGCGGGGATTATTTGCAATCATTGTTAATTTGACACTGATTCCGGAATCTTGAATCCACTCTATCTTGAATGCTTGCTCGTTTCCCTTGCCTTGGTTGTCCACTGACAATACTCACTCTGGGGTTCTACTGTATTGGTAAGATTATGGTAAGATTATGGTAAGATAATACAAAAAGATATTGAAAAACATTTTTAGGACTATACATACATTTCCTGTATTTTCAATTCAGGAACAAATATGTAAACAGGTTGGTTATATTTACTGTGCCTTTTAGTACTGTTTCAGCTGTTATGAGAAGGTTGGGAAAAGACCATTAAAATTATTTCATCTTTCAGATAAAGTTTCGAACAGCCGGCTATCTTTTCCTAAATTTTGTATACTCCAATTATGAAAACTCCTCCATCTCACTCAATTGAATAATAGTTGAAGGGTTAATTACAGTACAGCATTTAAGAATACACTGGGATTAATTAATAAATCTGGTAAATATGTCTGATCTCAGTCAGCTAAACACAAGTTATGAAAATACTGATGGCTGCATGCCTGAAAAGGTAAAAACAAAATGAATGACTATATATTTACTTTATATGCCCTCCAAATCGGTAATGCTGAATTACACTGTCATTGTTAACTGACATTAAGCTGCAATTTTAGCTTAAATGCTCCACATTTTGAAAATTTTGTTGGTATGTCGGGCACAATTGTATTATGTCTATACGCCATCTAATGATATACCTAAACATTTTCGGTGACCACTAAGTATTTTAATAAAGTACATCATAAAGTTAGCATTATCATGAACTGTGAACAATTTAATTTTTGTTATTTTGGTTGGTATAATTATAGCAGACAAATTTCCTTGTCAAGGAGAAACTGTGGCCGTCAATGGATTTGGTCAATAGCAGAGGTTCATGCAACCATGCTTTTTTAATAATTAAATTCCATGCAGTCAGCACATCAAATTTGGAAAACTGGAGTTCCAGCTGGATTAAAGTTGCTCTCCACCTCTGACACCTGAACCAAAAAATGGCAAATATACCTCCTACATAACCTAACATAACAAAA